AATCATTGCAAGATCAAATATCAGCTGCTCTATTAAATGTCTTTTGAAAATTGTTCATGATCAATTCATATCAATGAATTCTCCATACTATATTAATAAAAACTAGATATATATATATATATATATATTTATTTATTTATTATATATAATATAATAATATTTATTATATATATATATATATATAATATAGTTATATATATATTATACGATGTGTTGTGTCTTGCTTCGTTTCTAGGAAGCAGCCGATATCTGATTCTTGGAATCTCTGCATTGCTCGATCTTGAGCCCAACATCCTTCCCCTTCTTATATATTGAGTAGATGGTAATTAATCTTCCCCCAAGAGAAACATAGAAAGAAAAGAAAGACTCTCGGAAGAGATTCTTTCGAAGGAACAGATGTGTCTCACGTTTTCAATTTCGAATTCCGTGTACGATATAAAATTATCTTTTTCTATCCCTATTTCACTTTAGATAAAAATAAAAATAAAATAAAAAATAAAATTCAATCTGTATGCACACTATACACTATAAAGATAATAATATTACTTCTTTAAATAATAATATATAATATTATGGCTAGTCTTTTAAAATCACTTTTTGCATTTCTGGCAGAAAGAAAAGAAAGAGCAAGACAGAAAGAAGAGGGAGAGAGAACTTGCGCAACTGATGCCCATCTGGCCATCGCAAGCTTTTATCGTGCTTTTTCGATATGTCGACGACGAGCGAACGTGGGCAGCCTAATTCCGACGAGATCGTACCGCGTATAACGTATGCGATCTCGAGTGCAGACTTCAGAATAATTACATATCGCGATATAGAACGTGGAACCGACCGCATATTTCGGACAGCGGAGGTTAGTGAACTGATCGGTACGCGATCCAAGAGTATCATTACGTCTTTCATCTATTATAAGATTCATAAAATTTACACGAAAATAAGATTATTTTTAATTTATTGTTATATTTATTATATTAAAAAAGTCCAATTTAAAATTTAATTAATGAAAATAAGGACTGATTCAAATATAAGATAAAAGTAAGAAAAAAATATATAAGAAAAAATAAGATATGTAGACATGTCGCTTATGTAATTCTGTATATCAAAATTTAATAATTATTATATAGTTATTTTATAATTCTTTTTTATGTAATACTTTATTTTAAAACACTCAATTTCATGAATAATTGAAAATTATATACATTGAATTGTTAAAGCAATATCAAGAGAAAATAGCAATGTCTTGCGGAGGAGGTGAATCGGACTACACGTTAGAATCCCGTGAAAGCCGCATTAAAGTTGAACAGTTTTACGAGCGTCAATTTACGACGACGACTAACATCGTTTTTGCTTCTCTCATGTAAAAAGCGCGGATGTGGGCTACAGCAAATTTCCGCTTGCTGTCTGTTTTAGAGATCTTTATCCAAAAATGAATACGTAAAAATCGACGAGTCCAATAGAGTCCACTGTCCTCGTCACAAGGCAGAT